ACATGATATAAGCTTCACATTCACAGCTATTAAAAAATAAATCAAATTAAAACAGTCAAACTGGGTGCCTGGTTAGTGAATATGTGACGGAAAATCTGGCGGTTAAACTCTCTGAAAATGATTTAATGTCAAATAAACTAGGGGCATTTATAGCACAGCTGTTTCATCTCCTGCTACCCTTTTGCCCAAAATATTGAGAAGTGTTTCCTTGTAAAGGCACCGTGTGGACTTTTAACCCAGTTAGCCCACCCCCGGCCGATGTTATGCTGAAAAAGGCATCCCTGCCGTAGAGTGCATACCTGTCTCTAAATGACCGATTGGTCGCTGATCTGATACGAGTTGACCTACTTTGTCGAGTTAGGCTACCGTAGTGCTAATCGATAGCCCTATCCCTAACCCTAACCCTAACCCCCAAAAAACCTGTAAAACCCTAACCCCCAAAACACCCCTAAAATCCTAACCCTAACCCCCAAAAAACTGCTAAAAGCTCAACTCGTCAGAACACCGGCATGCATTCTACGGCAGGGATGCTTTTTTCGGCATAACACCTGTAACTCTTCCCGCCGAGCAACCAGGCTCGTGCATAAGGGGGTGCTGGGGGTGCCTGACACCTGACATCCTGCCCCCAGTTTGTCCGAAATATTAAGGAGTGCCTCCCTTCGACCCATTTTATTGCTTTTGCTCCCCCGCCCCAGCCAATAACATTTACTGGCGAGTAGCTGCCCCCCCCCCCCCCCAAAAAAAGTCTCCGCTCGTCTCGATAATAACCGACGGGGATCCCAGCTGCGGACCAGATCACGTTGTGCCAAAATACCACGTAAAACTCGGCGAGAAATGTTTTATAACTTTTTGTTTCCATTTTTTCAGATGGGATCAGATCACGGGCTGGTCTGGGGTCGTTAAAAAGACGCGGCCTTTAAGTTTAATGTACATTTTATTTTTGTAATTGAACCAGCCTCTAGCTTTCCGCGGACTGGAGCCTGGTGACGCCCTGTAATAATATGCTAGAAGGACGGAGAAGCTGTATGAAAATCAGAGAAGTGATTGCTTGATACAAATAAAAAGAAGGTTTATTTTTAATTCCAGTTTGGAATTATGACAATTTAAATGATAAGAAATTGCTATAACAAATTTGGTATAATTAATGTAAATTTCCGGACATATAAGTAGCAAACAAATTCTTCATATTTTATTCATAGTCTTATTTCATTATAGGCCAATTCCATAAATTTCATTAATAAATCATTGATCAAAAATTATTCTGTAATTAATTATAATTTTTATGAATAATGCAGTTTTGATATGCTGTAGCTCTAATGTTCTATCCTTTTTACTTATAGACGTATTGAACTTCATAAAATGTAAATCTGTCCTTAGTCTCAGTTTAGAACAACCAGTAATATTGTATTACACACTTATTATGAGTTAATTGTATAAAATATACATTTAATCAGATCAAGTCAAAGTATTAACATATTACACTTACATTTAAGTAATAGTTCTGTAGAGGCCGTAACAGATATATGTAAAATGTATGTTGATGTATGTAAAATATGTGCTTTTAAACCCATAATGGTTTATAAGAGTACTGAGTGTCATGTTACTGTGTAAAAATGGGATTATAAAATTTTCATTTCGGCATTATTATGTTGTCTGTTAGTCACAGTAGCAAAAATCCAAAGTGGAATACGCAGCTGCGAAAAAAAAAAAAATGAATAAAATTCAAAACAATTGGTGTTCTTGGTAACTTTAAAAAAGGATATAACTTATATTTTAAATGAGCAATTTATTCCTAAATATAGTCCACATACATAAATTATTTCAAAATCTGACAGTGAGTATAATGATGTATTACTATTATTAGTAAATGTTATATATAATCAGGGTCAGAGTACTGGGCACCTTTCAGTTTGTTTGTTTTTAACACACAGCACACAGATCCTGCCATGCAATAAACCACAAATATTTCAGACCCAAATAATGACCCCTGACCTCTGCTGGATGACAGTGGACCACTGGAGCAGAGGATGATCATGGTACTTACTGGCT